TGAGGCACTCGCCCACGTGAAGTCGGAGCTGCAGAAGAGACACACGTGCACAGACCTGGGTGAGCTGACAAGCTATCTTGGCTTGCGGATCACCCGGGACAGAGCACAGCGCACCATCACCTTGACTCAGTCACACATGGTGCAGCAGGTCCTTCAGCGCTTCCGATTCACGTACTCCTCGCCTCAGCCCACTCCTCTGCCTACCGGTCACTCGCTCTCAGCTCTGCCTTCGGATGAGTCCGTAGAGCCGAGTGGCCCGTATCCAGAGCTTGTGGGCTGCCTCATGTACCTGATGACCTGCACTCGACCTGACCTTGCATACCCTCTTAGCATCCTAGCACGCTATGTCGCTCCTGGCCGTCACCGGAAGGAGCACATGGATGCCGCTAAGAGGGTGTTGCGCTACTTGTGCAGTACGTCGGGCATGGGGCTTGTGCTTGGAGGACGGCGCGACGTTGTCCTCACTGGACACTCAGACGCTTCTTGGGCTGACGACCAGGCTACGCAGCGGTCGTCTCAGGGTTACACCTTTAGTCTTGGCTCTGGCTCTGTTTCCTGGCGATCTACACGCTCTTCCTCTGTTCTCAGCTCCAGTTGTGAGGCTGAGATCTACGCCACAGCCATGGCTGCCCAGGAGCTACGCTGGCTCACCTACCTGCTGACCGACCTGGGAGAGCGGCCTCGTTCTCCTCCAGTGCTGTACGTCGACAACAAGGCCGCCCTTGCCTTGTGTCAGGAGCACAGACTGGAGCACAGAACGAAGCACATCGCTCTGCGCTACTTCCTTGCTCGAGAGCTGCAGCAGCGTGGTCAGCTTCGTCTTACTTACGTGGCCACTCGGGCCAACACTGCTGATGTGTTCACCAAGGCGCTTCAGCCTTGTGATCATCAACGTTTCTGTACTGTTCTAGGCCTTGTGCCTACTCTCCCTCACTTGCTCACTTCTTGACTCTGCTTGTACTGTGATCTTTATATATATACCTGCATGCTTACACTTGCTAGGTTGTGATCACTGTACCTCTTGTTATATTATCAAACTGCATGTGAACTGGTCTTGTGACCACTTGCTTGTGCTCGGAATTCGTGTGGTATCCTTGAGATCCACCCTGAGCTTGTTCTGCTTTGCCTTGCTTTGACTGGTCTTGTGACCCCTTGCTCTCCCCCACTTAGCCTATGGGGGTGTGTCAAACATTATATGTTTGCATTGTGTAGGCTATAGTGGGTTTAGCCTTAGGGGGTACAACAAACTTAGGGTTTCCTACTTGTACCCAACTTTCTGCTAGTTCATTCATTCTTGTTCTCTCTAAGATTCTAACAGTTATTGTATATTATATTTTGCATTCGCTAATTCCTGCGTGACATGCCCGCCCCTTTGGCAGGGAAGCTCTCGCTGCCAAAGACTCTGCGACCGCCCTGCCTGAACTCGGCCTCGTCGACTCCGTCATTCGTGCAGTTGCCGAACATCTCAGACGCTCCAGCAACTCTCACAAGACTTTCTTTGACCTGCAGAAGGTTTTCTCGCAGACGAACCTCGAGGTTCAGGGCATCCATGCCGTGCGGTGGTTGAGCCGCGGTGATGCCATCGCCCGTTTCGTGAAGGTTTTCCCGGCGGTGGTGGTCCTGCTTGAGCGGCTGGACCCCACGATGTACCTGGTGGTGACATCTCTGAAGTTCCATTTCTTCCTCATTTCCTTGCAGACAATCACGTCGAGCTGAACATGCTCAACCTCATGTTCCAGAAGCGCGAGACAATATGCTGTCAGCGATTACGTGTGTATGCCTGTGCTTCTCTGTGCTTATTCTCCTCTCTGCTGTGCCATCCCTACCCTGCCCCCCCCCCCCCACCCCCAACCTGCAGGTGGACTTCATGGCTGTGCAATCCCAGGTGCGGCGGATCCTCGTGTTCCTCCAGGAGCGTTACATCGATTGCGGTCAACAATTCGGGGGCGGTGCAAGCGCGAAGCTGTCGCCGTTTCTCGCGCGGCACAGCTCGCCGTGCAGCCGAGACGTGCGTGTGCAAGGCGTGGACAGTGATCGTCAGCCATGCACTCACGAGTTCACTCTGCACGAGACAGCTGTTCCGGGCTACACCACCAGCGCGGGAGACATCCAGTCGTGCACGCGGACATGTCGGTCGTTCGCGACGGAGTTAATATACAATATTAACTTCCGCCTCGGCAGTCTGTCAACCCTCAACTCTGCTAAGCTCTTCATGCCACGCACCTGGCCGCGGGGAAGAGAGGCGAGAGACGCGGAGTGCCTTGAGCATCTGGACGGCCTCTACACCATGTTCCACGCGCGCGAGCGAGAGGAAGTTCTACCAGGTGAGTTAACCTCCCTCCTGTATTCGTCTTTGTGGTTTGCTCCGGTATACGATTTTGTTGTATGTGTCAGTAAGCGTGATATGGCCCCTTGAGTTGCACTACGGTCCCTTGCTATCCATCACCCGTCCCTTCTGCCAGGTGTGACGAAGCGGGAGTGCAAAAGGGAGATGCGGACCTTCTTGTCGGTTCTATCCGGAGCGCCGAAGGAGGAGCAGGCCTTCCATGCAGGCCTGAAGGCGATGATGGCCACTGCAGACTGGCCGAGGAGCTACCCCAACCTGGTGCGGCTATGGGTAGCAGTGGCGGTGTTGCCGATCAGCACTGTGGAGTGCGAACGCGGCTTCTCCCAACAAAACATCATCAAGAGTTGGCAGCGGACGGGATTGCACGACCCGAAGCTTGGTGATCTCATGACGCTGAGCTTGCTGGAGTACGACGTCGAGTGGAAAGACATTGTGGAGCTGTGGCGCAGCACGAAGAAGCGCCGCCAAACCAAGCGTAAGAGCAACCCCCCTGATGCCGCGAAGAAGCGTGGTGGTGGTGGTGCAGCTGATGGTGGCAAAGGCAATAGCAGTGACAGGCAGCAGGAGAAGGCCGACCATGGCGGTGGCGGCCATGACTCAGATGATGATGTTGCAGGAGGATTTAGTGATGGTGATGATGTGCTGATGGAGGATGCTAGATGGATATGAATAATGATTGTATGACTGAAGTTTCTAAATGCAACAGTAACCGTTACTATTACATTACTTGGTTTGTGTGTGTTGTGTTGTCAGAACGTGGAATGGAAATGTTTCACATGCATAACAGCTTTGGTAAAGTAGTTTTTTACCCTGACAAATCAGGATTACACTAGTTTTTACCCTGACAAGGCAGGATTACACTAGTATTTACCCTGACAAAACAGGATCCTGAATGCACCTCAGCAGTGATCAATCAGGGCGAAAAAAAAAATAGGGGGGACCTGCCCTGATGGGTCAGGGTCCCCTGAATCCTATCTGAGGCCCTGGTACCGACATGAACGGATGCAATTGCACAAGTCAACAATACGGTAACACGGCAACAACAACATAAGCCTTGAACGTGTTCCTACGGGCCCCTATCAGGCCAACCTTTTATCAGATCACCCTTCCGCGCTTGTAATTCGGCATTGTCGGAGCAACCTCTTGTCACGCACTGTTGCCGGTTTGAGATTTTGGGCGACTGTAAATCGGCGCTGATGTGGCCCCATGCGACACTGGATTGTTGCGTAACTTGTAAATTGTAGCTCAGTATGCGGTTCGACATACTTTTGCAGGTGCCACATCAGCACACTCACAAGCTCAACACCTGGGGCCGGAACGCAACATCCCAAGTCCCCGTAGCAGCTCCTCTCATCTCCCCCGCTCCTTCTCAAGTCCAATAAAAAGCGCACTGCTCTGACTGCTATTTCGTAACGTCTAATTACCATGACTGATGTGCCGTTTCTCCCACGGCTGCTAATTGTCTGGCACGCCTTCTATTACAATACCTTCTTAGAGTGTGCCACTAAGGCGTTCATACAGCTTCTCGACCATATAGAGTCTGGCAGCCTTGGCCAACACACGGGAGAAACTAGGGGCGCGCTACGTGCACGTAACCGAGCATTACGACGTAGGCGCTTGCAGTTATGGGAGGACGAGATGGAGTCCATGTCGGAGGAGATATTCACAGACCTTTTCAGAATAAACCGCGCCATTTTAGACTACGTGTGTGACGGAATGCGCCATATTCTTCACCCGATCATTGAAAGGCACCGCCTGCCCATTACAGTCGCGGTCCTAGTACCAATAAAGTATTTTGCTAGCGCGATGTCGTACGTTGACCTGGCGTTTTGGTTCGGCGTCCCAAAAACCCTGTGTCACATGCTCGTAGACTTGTTCTTGAAGAACTTCCCACGCGTGTTCAAAGCCAATTGGGTTCGATTCCCAACAAGGGAAGAGTTGGTAATCATGGCTGCCGAGTTTCAAAGCATCAAGGGCATCCCTGCTGTAATAGGAGCCATAGATGGTACCCACGTGCAAATAAGGGGGAAGGAGGGACATCGAGCAGAGTACTATACCAGAAAATCACAATATGCAGTGCAACTACAGATTACATGCGACGCAAATGGAACAATCTGGGATTATCTCATTGGGTTCCCAGGGACCGCGCACGACCAGAGAGTGTTTGTCAAGTCCTATCTCTACGAACGCCTACGACGGGGTGACATCGCCCCTTACCAGTTGGTTGGCGATGCCGCCTACCCTTTGAGAGATTACTGCCTGACGCCTTTGCACGCGCCGACCGGCCGCCTTATGCTAGAGTGGCAGTAGACTTTCAACTACTGCCAGTCTGCCACCCGCATGGCCGTAGAGCGCACGATCGGCCAATTCAAAGGCCGGTACCGGCTTTTCGCCAGCAGACACGACTGTTCGCTATGGCGCGTCCTCGCCGGCGCGTCATGCGTCGTGATTCTGCACAACATGGGGATAAAGATGGCAGGGGCGCGCATGAAGAATCCGAACCACAAGTGGGCGGCCATTGCATTTAACCGTGACCCATGGTGGACGCGGGGAGGGTTGGCGGACCACAACTGGAGTCCATGCCTCACCGGGACTCCGCGCGAATTGAAGGAGAGGCGGAAACGGCTTGGAGAGGCGTTACATGACGCCTACCTTAAGCGGTGTCGCCGCGACGCCACTCTTCAACCCTGTCCGTGAACGTGGAGCCGCCGCGTCCATCGACGTCGTCCGGCCAGGCGTCGTTGTCAACGCCGCGGCCGGAGGAATAATGCTGGCCACGACTGGTTTGCGACTGCTGCGTCGCCATCCATTCCCGGATCACCCCCGTGATTTGTGCGACACCGGCGTCGGAGCACTCCTTAAGGGTGGAGGCGAGGAGTTGGGCGGCAGCCATCGTCGCAGTGTCGTTAATCCTGCGACGAGCGCACGGCGGGGTGCCGCGCACTGCGGGATCGGGTCAGACATAACGTGGATACGGACAGACGAAGGGTGGATCAACACAGAAGGGGGTTAGAGGTAGATCCGAGGTGTTATACATCGTAGCGTGGTTGTAACTTTGGGAACCTTAATAAAATATTTAAGCGCATCAAAATGTGCCGTTACTCAATCATTGTACCTGTGGCATCCGACTTTGCTGGCGTGGGTATCTTCACCGCTGGATCCACGGTAACATCGTCAGCACCACCGCCCTCGAGCGCATGAGGCTCAGCCGCCGCAGTGTCCGCGTAGTAGAGCACCATCCATTCCCACCACGGCGGCTTGATGACCGTTTCGCCGCCCGAAGCCTTGTCGCCTACGTCGATCTGCTTCCATAACGCTTTGAGCCTTTTCCACTGGTTGGTGCACGCAGTTTCGTTACGACTCCAATCGGGATGTTGGAGCTTGATGTGCTCGATGAGCCGCAGCCAGTACTGCGACCCCTGCTTACCCGTCATCTGCGTCAGCTCCTCTTTGGTGAACCATCTTGCTGCAGCCAATATGGTCGACTCCTTGAGCGACCATTCCGGCCTCGCTCCTTTCTGTGGGCTCAAAGTTGTACCGCCACGCGCGTCAGTCAGAGAGCCCGCCTTGCCGGATCGCTTTTCGTTGCTGCGGCGGCTTGCGCTGGTCCGCGCGGTTGTCGCGGAGGAAGGCTGGTCGACCGGTCCGCTGTACTCGGCAGCTCCATTCCAAGCCGCTACTGGATCTTCCCCGTCAGATTGCGCTTCGTCGTCCTCATCGTCCGAGTCCTTCTCGGGGTAAATGTCGTCCGAGTCATAACCACTCGAGGGTGCGCCGCGATTGGTGCGCGGCGTGGCTTGCGACTGCGCGGCTGCTCTAGCGTGTGACTGCACGTTGCGCAATGGCTTTGTCGATGGTCTGCCTGCAGCTATCTCTGCGTTCATCCAGGCAACGTACGCTAGGTCCTCGGGGCGCCAGTCGGGGGTTTCTGTTGCCAGCCCATGTCCTTTGCGTTTGTTATAGTCACAATAGGCTTGAATGTGCCTAAAACGAAAGATAGAGAGCACAGACGGATTTCTGCACAGCGGCTTCAAACGTTGATAGCGTTCTGCTCACAGCTGCAAATGACTTGATTCAAATTGGATCTGGAGCGTCTTTACGTCGTCTACAATTAGCAATTTAGATTGCACGATTTGATAAAGAATTGACGACACAGCGTCGGTTTGAACGAACGGTACTATGGCAGCCACTATAGTCTTAGAACACAAGATAGGAAGAGTTACGAGTTGGGAATGACTCCCAGCTCCTACAAACCCCAAGAGCCGAGGTACAGTGATGTGGAACAGTGCCACACTGTCCCCAACCACGAAGGGTCTCGAAACTACCCTTCACTAGGGCCTACACCAAGTGAAATGTTACACTACACAAAGTAATGTAACTATCTTCAATATCTTGAGGTGTACCCTTTTGGCGAGCTTCGAAATCACTTGAGGCTTGACACCAAGGCTCGGGCTCTTCATCACAAACTCATCCTTGAGTTCTTGATGGGTCTGCTGCACACACCTGCGACACGCCGAACGTTCGACACAGGACAAAATAGAAACCGCGCGCGAGACACAAACGACCGCGTAACACGCGTCTAGCGATAACTCGCTATTGACTCGACACACACACTCGACATCATGACTCAACATTCACACACAATTATAAGCATGAAATATATATTATCCCATGCCCTCATACCATTCCATACACACACACATTCACGCACACGGACAACAAGCCGAGTGCAAACCGTAGGGTTGCACCAACAAACTCCCCCTCGGATTGTTGGCCTTAGGATATGTTGCTCTCTCAGTTCAGAGCCATCCCAGCCAGCTTGCAACACTTCCAATGCTGCTGCTCCACCAGCCTCTTGGTCATCATGTCAGCCGGCTGCTCCGTGGTCTTCACGTAGCGCAACTCAACTTCACCCGCGGTTACCATGCTCCTCGTCCAATGCCACTTCACCCTCATGTGCTTCGTGAGTCCATGCAACACAGGATTCTTAGCAAGAGCAATGGCACCCTGGCTGTCACAGTACAGTGGGGTAGGTCCTTGCTGCTCCTCCCCCAATTCAGCCAACAAACGCCGCTGCCACACAATCTCCCGTACGGCACGGAAGAGTGCCATGTACTCGGACTCCACCGAGCTCAAAGCTTGGTCAACCTGCTTCTTGCTCTCCCAAGCAGTTGGGCCTCCACCAACACAGCATATGAAGCCTCCCACACTTGTCATGTCCTCTGGTTCTGATGCATATGAAGCATCCGAGTAGGCGGTGAGGAACAAACGCCCGGGTTCAACACCATCCGCGCCCTTTTGGCGCCTTTGTGCCGCCGCCGAGTATTGCAGCCCAACGGTCGGTGTTTGGCCAAGATACTTGGCCACCCTCATTCCAGCTGCTACCTGTTCCTCATTAGGGCATTGCACAACCCTAGCCAGCTGCCCGGTAGCAAACGCGACGTCCGGTCGGGTGTTTACCGCCGCATACATGAGGCTGCCCACCAACGAGTGAAATCGGCGCCTCTCCTCTTCACCAACGCTCTCCTCCTCTGGTCCCTTCACACACTTGAACCCAGAGGGAAAGGGTGTAGCCACATGGCCTTCACTCTGCCCAAAGTTGGCAGCCAATGCCTCCAGGTACTTTCGTTGATGCACCCGCATGCACCGCTTCTCCACATCTCGTTCGATGTGGAGCCCAAGGTAGAAGCTCACGTCACCAAGGGCCTTGCACTTGAACTTGTCTTGAAGCTTCAGCATCACCTCCTTCACAAGGTCAGAAGAGGGTGAGAAAATGAGGATGTCATCCACATAAACCACCATGAAACTCCTCTGCTCCCCCTCGCCAAGCATGAACAAGGAGTGATCGGCCGTTGAGGGAGTGAAGCCGATCCCCTCCAACACTTCGCGCAGCTTCATGTACCATTGCCTAGGGGCCTGCTTCAGCCCATAGAGGGCCTTCTTCAGCTTCCACACTCTGCCACTACCATCATCAAACCCCTCTGGCTGCGCCATAAAAATCTCCTCCTCAAGGATGCCGTTAAGGAATGCCGTTACGATGTCCATTTGCTTTACTACCCATCCTTTGATGGCGGCTCCCGCGAATAGGGTTCGCAGCGTCGTCGGCTTCACCACAGGGGCAAACAGCTCCTTGAAGTCCACCTTCTCCTTCTGCTGGTACCCCTTGGCTACAAGCCTAGACTTGTAGCGCTCGATCTTGCCGTCGGCATCCGACTTGATTTTGAAGAGCCACTTGGACGTTATCGCCGTACGCCCCTCCGGTAGCTCCACCAATTCAAACGTGTCATTCTCCTCGATGCTCTTCAGCTCACTCTCCATGGCCTTCTTCCACTCCTCAGCATCACTACTCTCCAAAGCCTCCTTGAGAGTTGCTGGTTCTCCCGGCATCTCCACCGGAGAGAAGAACGCGAAGGCACACTCCTCGTAGTCACTCTCCTCGTCGTCTCCGACCATCATTGCCGCTCCGGCCAGGGCTGTCTTGCCCTGCTTTCCCGGCGCATCATAGGTCAGCCTATTAGGGGGTTGAACTCTCCTCTTCCCCCTTCCTTCCTCCTCAGCTGCAGGGACTTGAAGGCCTTGGCGTTGCTGCGGTGTGGCTCGAATCCGTGGAGCACTCGTAGTACGGGAAGGGAGTGACGGTGCACGCTCGCTCACTTGCTGCACCTCCTCCTCTTCTTCCTCTGCATCATTGGCCTCCTCTCCCCCATTCACAAGGGAGGATTGCCTTGTGGTTGTGCTGCCGCTGCTCAGCTCCAAAGGCAGCTCCACATGCTCCAAACCGGAACTCTTCACCTCCCCAAACCGCACGCCTATCTTCGCCTCATTCTCCGCCTTCCAATCCTTGTACATGAAGTTCTCCATGAACTTGCAGTCCCTGCTCACCAAGAACTTCTTGGTGAATGGGTCCCAAAGAAGCCATCCCTTGCTGTTTTGAGCCATGCCCAAGTGCACGGCCCACACCGCCTTGGCACCAAGCTTGTTGTGCCGAAGATGCTTAGGCACGAGCGCCATGCACATGCACCCGAACACCCGAAGCATATCCACCTTTGGCTTCCTTCCTAGCCACTCCACATAGGGCACCCATTTGTCTGCTCCCACATGAGTCAAGGCTCTGTTCTTGGCCACACACGCGCTCCGCATCGCATCAGGCCAGAAATAGTCGGGTAGCCCGGCCTCAATGAGCAACCCGCGTGCCGCCTCCGTGATTGTGCGGTTCGCTCGCTCGGCGATGCCGTTCATTGCAGGGGAGTATGGCATGGTGAGGGAGTGCCGAATACCATTCTTCTTCAGCCACAACCCAAACTCCTTGCTCAGGAACTCTCCCCCTCGATCGGTGCGGATTGACTTGACTAGACGGTCTTGTTGCCGCTCCACCATCGGGAACCAATCCGTCTTCAACGTTTCAGCCACGTCGCTCTTCTTGGCCAGCACGTACACCCAAGTCATGCGGTTGTAGACGTCGACAATGGTGAGAAAATACTCAGCTCCAGCAGCTCCAAGCTTCAAGGGGCCCACCACGTCCATCACCACCTCATCAAGCGGTGCCTTTGCCGTTGCCTCCGAACTAGGGAACGGAAACCGGGTGAACTTGGCTTGAATGCACGTCGGGCAGCCAAGCACCTCATCGGGCTCCCCCTTCACACGTATGCCAGCAACCATCTCATTCTTCACTAGCTGCTGCAAGATGGGCAGGGCCACATGCCCCATGCGCCGATGCAAGGTGAGCCAATCACACTCCCCCGTAGCCGAAGTTGGATTGGAGAATGCCGCGCTCGCAATAGCGCCCCACATACTCTCTCCGTAGTCCTCCTCCGCTGCTGCCTCTGGGTTCTCCTCACCCTTTTGCTGCTCCTTGGTTGCTGCACCACTCTCCTTAGGTTCACTGAACTTGTTGGTCCCTCCAGGTTTGCTCTTCTTGAGCTCATTCTCCTTAGCGCGACCGTTCGCGCCATCGTCGCTACCGACCGCTCCATCCTTGGTGCTGATGCTTGCTGCCATTTGCCTCTCCTTAGGCATAGGGACCACTGGGATCTGCCACATCTCGTTGTAGACATCCCTGTCCTCATGAAGGTCCCAAAGAATTCGATCGCCAAGCCTTGCGGTGTAGGTCTTGGCTCCCTTCGAGTTCGTGTCCATGCCGGCCTTTGCCAACCGCCGCACGGAAATCAGGTTTGCAGCAAGGCTGGGCACCCAAAGCACGTTCTTGAGGCCCACCATCTTCCCATCAGCACCCTTGAACATGGCCTTGCCCATGCCTTTCACCTCTGCTCACTGCCCCAAAGCCGATGTGACATGCTTCACCGGTGACGGCTCGAGTTCGGTGAGCAAGTCCGGGCGAGGTGTCATGCTATAGGTAGCGCCACTATCAATCACCCAATAGTCCAGGGGGTGTAGGGTCACCTTCCCCACAGCTGCTGGCTCCTCAAAGCCTTCATCCTTCTCTGGACCAGCCGGTACTTGCGTCGACACGAAGTAGAATAGACCCGGGCATCGATCGTCGCTCGGGTCCTTGTCGTTGTCTCCGCTCTTCATGTTTGCAGCTCCGCCACCGCGACCGCCACGGCCTCCACGGCCTCGTCCTCTCCCTCCTCCTGCTCCTCTACCCTCTTGGCCTTGAGCAGGGGTCCAACCATCAGGGAGTTTGTAGCAGTCGCTCCACATGTGTCCGCTCTTGTGGCAATAGTGACACTCGCCGTCGAATCGGCCGCGACCGCGTCCGTAGCTCTTGTCGTCGCTGCCGTAACCGCCACTCCTGCGGCCTCCGCCGAAGTTGCTGCCACCAAACCTTCCTCCCCCTCGTCCTCTGCCTCTTCCTCGACCATATCCACGGCCGATGCTCGCTGCCCCAGCGCCATCCGCACTCGCCAACTCACGGCGGCGGAAA